CATGTGAAGGCGAGGGAATGAAACGCCACCGCAATTCTTCAGCAATTAAGGGCACTATATGCAAATTTCATCAACGAATTTCAATAATTATTGTTGTACAACTGCATGTTTTGTTGCATTCTTATTTATTATAGGTGGAAGAAGATGTGTGCGCAAAAATATGGGGGAGAAAAGTCTAACCTTCTTTCTCATTCCGCTGCCTTTCTTTGGCTCGGAACATTGGCGCATTTGTGTGTATGGGAAGAGAGATGATGGAGGGCCGAAGGAAAAGGCAGAGAGAAAAAAATCTATTTTTCACTCATAAGTTTGAGGTTGCTGATAGACTCACCGTCAGTCACTGATCGATTCATCCGAATGGGCAGGTGTATTCTGGCTGAGGTGTTTCAGTTTCTCTTGGCCTTGTTCCCCTCTCCACCCCAGTTTTTCTTTCACTTGATCCGCGCACACTCTCCAGAGGGGCAGGTGAATGAACACTCCAACAGACTTATTACATTAATTTGGAAATAAATACTCTAAACGTCTTCTCCTGTTTTTTCCACTCTCCACTCTCGCCGCGGACTCTGTGAATTTAATTTCATCACATAAATTTTCGTGGAGCGAAGAAGTCCCTTGTGGGAAAAGCCATAATTGCTGGTGGCAGAGTCGCTGGCGGAATTGTTCGGTCGAGAACAAGGAGGGAGGAACATCGATTGGGGCCTTCAGACGTCTGCCAGGAGTAACGGTTGGGATGTCATCAACGTTCAAAATTATTCACACTCTTGGCTCACTGCCCAAAGACTCCGGCATCTCCGCGAAGAGCGGAGAGTGCGCACATGAGAAAGAGAAATCATGCTCCACTGGGGCGGTATATATAGGTAGTACAATATAATTTTCATGTAAGCGCCATTCCCCAATAAAAGAGACCAACCACAATAGAATCACTGAGAAATTCCCTGGGAATACGCCAGGAGAAAGAGAATGAACTCCAAATTGGGATAATTTTCCTCCACAATAGCGCAAGAGAGTTATACACAATGCAAGAAGTTGACAATCGAATTAAACGGCGAAATGCCTGAGAAGCTCATCTCTGAATCTTGCGGGGCCCCCACGAAGCGCAGGAAGGGCCGAAAGGAAGAGACGTTCTTCGCCCAATTGCCAATATATATATAATATTATATATACAGTGGGGCGAGGGAAGTGGCTAATGACAATAGGGAAGAGGATCGAAATGGTGGACAGAACTTTGGCTCCACTTGTGCGTCTCCGGGGCCGTTTTGGATATTCTGGGGCGAGAGTGAGGTAAAACGCGCGATAACCAGTGCTTGTGAGACGAAGCAAAAACAAGAAGATCGTTTGTTTAACACGCGGTTAAATGGTGAGACTGTGAGTGGTGTGCCTTCTCTGGTAGCCATCCAGACAGAATGTGACTACACGAATTATCCCACACATTCCGGACGTCTGTTGGTATTTCTTGTTACTTCGGAATGCTATCACAGCGCCTCATCGCCCAGTATCAAATGACCATCCATCGCCAGAGATGAGGACTAATGAATAAATGATGCCCCAATAGTAGTGCACCCAATTTTCATCGTCACCAGTCACTTTTTCCACGCACCCATGAAATTTATGGGCAATTCCCAGTGAGTAATCCCATTTCCCGGTGTGTGACATCTGAAGAAGAGCTCGCTTTTCTCGCCCCTCGCTCACAGTCACAGCACAATTGCGCCTAATCCGATTTTGGGTTGCAGTCAGACCAACCAAGACTGCCATTGTCAGTGTGAGATTAGATTGAACGTATGATCTGTGGCCCTTAATTTATTCTCTCACCCTCCGCAGAGCCGGCAAAAATTGAATTTCCAACCAAATCGCATAACTCTCGCATGGTTGAGTGCTGAGACATTATTTCGGGCCACTTGGAAGATGTCCGAGTGCGCAAAGAAATGCGAAAGATTTATTCCTTTCAAGGACTGCGCAGTAGCGCCGAAACGAGGGGCAAGAGGGGCAACGCGCCCCGGCCTTCACTGTGGCCAATAAAATGCATAGTAACAAAGAATTTCTAGCATTAGAGCATTATCACACTTGTTTTTTTCCACTTTTAAGTTATCGACACTTATCGATAAGAGCTTCTTGCAATTTTAGGGGAAAAATATTTAAAATTGACAGTCCAAAGACTGTTTAGTTCATATGCGTCCTTTTTTCCTCTAAAATTGTACTGAAAAAAGGAAATTGGAGGCAATTCGTATCGATAAGTGTCGGTAAATGTCGATAACTTCAATCATTTCAAGGTGAAAAAGGACACAACGTCAAAAAAGGACTGATATAGACTGATTTGACTTTTGACTGTCAATTTTGACTACTTTTCCTATAAAATTGAATTCAAAAATACACGAATTCGTGTCGATAAGTGTCGGTATTAGCTTGATACCACTAAAAATTCTACTCTTCTGAAAGCCATTAAACGAGATTTTACTCTTAAAGTCCTGAAGAGAATGAATTCCATAATAAATGCTTCAATTTAACAATAAATTATCGATATTCTTGCAATCTTTCGAGCTCCTTTGCACTGTATTTTTGCTTTGTCGCATCGTTTTCCCAAGAACATTTCAATTTTCATCGCCTTTGACAGACTTCAGATTCTATATATCAAAGGAAATTTTCTTTCCCTTCGCCATGACGACACTGAATGGCAGAGAAGTTCTGCGAGGAGTTCCTGGGAAATTCACACAGAGCAAGCTCCGCAGTAGAAGCTGCTTAATGGTTGAAACTTTTCCCAGATTTCCTCCCTCTTATCGCGTGCGCAATCACGAGATTCCTCAACTGTGAATCAATAACTCCCCCATCGTCCATTGACTCTGTCGTGGGTGTGTGTGTGTGTGTGTGTGCCGCGAGAAAGACAGGAGATAGAAGAGCAATTTTGTGGTAGACAAAACTCAAAGTCACTCTCATGGAACCTCAAAGTTTAGCTTGATGGCGCAAATGTCCTGGCTGGTCGTCTTTTGTTGTGCGCTGTGATACATTTCTCGTATGCTAATGCCGGCCTCGTACGACTGCGGGGAGAAACACACAATTATGTGTATGTACGAGACTGAGGAACATAATGATGATGGCACATACGACGGGTGGTTCGTAGGCATTAGGAGTGTTGGCAATGCGACTACGCGCACACATTTGGCCAGGTAAAGTGCTCGAATAATAAAGTAAAAAGCCAGCGAGAGGGAGAGAGACAGTGTAGAGGAAGGTATGAGTTCTGAAAGCTGATTTTTATCGCGGTATTCTGTAAAATGGCGGACACAGCTGTCAGTCACATTGTTGGCTTGAATGCATGAAGCAAAACGCACATAATGCCACATATTTTATATATCATTTTCCCTATGTAGCATTAGAAGCTCGACTTTTCCCTTGTTCATCTACTTGACCATCTCCAGAGACCATTTGGATTGCCATTGTGCGACTGAGCATGTTGTTGTGCGTAGCGAAGATGAAGTAATTGCGGAGGTGCCCAAAATGGGAATGAAATGTCCGGGAATTAAGGGAAAACCACAAGGCGTACGAGCAATCCTTGCGCGCAGAACCTGATATGCATTATGGACGAGCAAGTACATAATTTTGAGAGAGATTATTTTTTACTTAATTGCTCTCTAGCCAATTAAACAAACAACATTCCCGACGATGCGCAGCGCGAGAATGAGCATCTCGGAGATGAAGCGTCCGCTGGGAATGCGCTGGCGATCGTGAAAGTTCATAAAAGTCACATTTGCAGTGGGGACGCCGGGTGGGTAATTACTGGATCACAGGGGAGAATTCTCGTCGAATGTAATTACCTTGGGTGTATCGATAACAATGTGCAAAATGAGAAAAATGAAAGTGCTGCTTATGGTTTTCTGTACTTGCAATCATTCCCTTCGCCTTAACCATGGGATGCTGAAGATCACACTGGCGAAGTGATCGCAAGGCGATCGCGCATGGAAAAATATGTGTGAGATTGAGTCAACAAATTATCGACAACCTTGATGCTCTAGGGAGAAGATGCCGGAGTGCAAGTGTAGCAGCAGCTCCGAGCCACAGTATCGTACGCTCCTCTCCCGATCACTGTGCAATGATTATAATTTATTTATAGTGTGATCGCGAGTGTCTGCCGGGTGAGAGATTACGGGATTCCTGCTCACCGTCGACTCCAATATTGTGTGTGCTCCGCGGCAATCATTGACCAATGCCGATGATTAAGTCGAGAGAGTTTCCCTCCTCAGAATGACATCACAGAGCGCATCGCCTTGTCACGATCCGATTGTGAAAAGCCAACAAGTTGTGTATTGTGTTAAATTTGACGATCATGACTCGCAATTTGTCCGCCAATATCAGTTTTATTATCTCCGCTAAGACAATTGTAGCAATTTTCGCCAAAATTACAGAGCTCTTCTCTCTGAGCACAAAATTACAAGGAAATGCAGCAACTGAATCCTAAATTCTCAAAGCTTCGAAAGCTTTACTACCATTTTTATTCAATTCACGTCAATTTATGAAAATTATTATTTGAATTTCCGCACTTTCTTCTATAACCCGTCGATAAAATATGTTTAGAAGGATTGTTTTTACAATGATAATTTTTTACGAATTTTTAAAATCTACCATAAAATAGAAAAACCGGAAAATCTTTCGTGATTTCTGACCATTAATTTTGTGATTATTCAATCGTTTTTTTTTTTTAAATATAATGAAATCTTGATTATTTTCTTCACATAGTACCGCCAGAGGGCAGCATTTTAAAGACATGTTGAAGTTCCGATTGTATTTCCCGAAAGCGAAGTCGAATTCAAATCAAGCTTTTAGCTTTTTGCCATTTAGAACTTGAAAAATGTGACCGAAAATCGCCAAATTTGGGATAAATCGCAGATATTCACAGTGCACAATCTCTCTGCTTCGTATCCATTCCATTTTCCATGATGCCATTGCCTAGACTTTAAGCATAGAAGAGCCATTTGTTTGCATACTTACCAATTGATTGATTTCTTTTATTTCGCCAGACACATTTCATCTTTCAAGCCGAGCCGCTCATTCTGCACACCAATATTCGTTACAGTCTAGATCGTCAAGTAAGTAAACATTTTCCTTTTCTTCTCCACACACACCTTGGCACACACAGAGAAAAATCCCTTAGGGAATCGTTAGCCTCTGTGCCATTGTTGGCCCGCAGACGCGCCATGCAAAAATTTCTTTGCGCATTACCTTCATTATTAAAATCGGTCAATTAACTCTGACTTCGGCAAACTCATTACTTATCACATATCAAATCTTAATGTGGCCGTGTAAAAAGTATTTATTGTTGGCAACAATCATGGCGATTGTTGCGCTCTGTGCGCCTCACCCTCCTTCCGGGCAACTATTGCATCCTCCCAATATCTCGGAGCCATTCATCCATTTTCGTCCGAATTTTCAATGGTACAAAATTGCACTCTTGCATATTGGGTGCACTGCAATATAACAAGGAGGAAATAATAGTGAGCACTTCTTCGTATACGCACTCCTCTCGCCTCCTCTATCCACACTTGGGGAAGCCGGAGAGCCAAGGCAGACAGTATCCATAAAACACAATTGTTACCGATATAATCATATCGCTGATCTCGGGGCTCGACTGTGTACAAATTAACGGAAAATACTACTTCAGTAAGCACCATACGAGAAGGTTATGGGTGCTCCTATTGGAATACGCCATGGACACCCATTTCAGCCCCCGATTGAGCGCAACGAGATGAAGAAAGGCAGCAAAAAAGTTAAATTAAATTGGTTAACGATGCTCGTAGTCCACCATATCATAATGCCACACAGGCGCGCTCTGTGCATGGATTTTCATTGGGAAAAAAAGCGCCACCTCAGAGCCTTTTTGTCTATCCCGAGCACAACAATTGCGATGCTGGGGCTGATTTATCGTCACCCGGAATGTAAACACTGCGTGGTCCCTAAAGTGCCAATCAAATTGAATTTAAAATATGCATATTATGTGTCCTCATCCTCATAAATGATGGCATATAATTTAATTTATTATAATTTGCCCCCTTGATTAACAGGTTCCACTTAGGAGCCCTGGGCGATGGCTCGGGAAAAATTGACATGAGAAATATGGCTCATTAGATGAGTTTTGGGTGAAAATTCTGACATAATAACCACTTCCTTATCGCCCCGTCATTATCTCACACAATTCTCTCTCCTTCGCGGACTGAGAGATATCGGGAAGCAATATTATTTATCTAAAAACCCACGACTGTGCCGATGATTTTACGGCCCAGCAGTATAACTTCCCAATCTGCGTGTGTCTCTTGGGAATATTAACACGGATTATTTTATTGAGGCTCTCTTCGCTGTCTTTTTTTTCACTCTCTCGCGCATATCTGGGCGAATCTGTGGTGGATTTTTGCGACTGTACGTGGCAGAAGGCAGCTCACCACATTCCGCCGGGGGCGCCAATGTGATGTATGGATGTTCGATCTCATTCCTCTATAATTCCACCTATTAAGCGAACGGTTATTGCGAAAAATTATACACCCTGTTTGTTGTTTAGGCGAATGAATTACGTCGCAATCGACGCAAGTGAGCAACACAATATAAGTGCACAGCATAGGAAACTCTTTTAATCCACTTGATACCGAGTTGTCTTCTTATACACCGGGAGGGATGACGATGCTCCATGGGAGAAGATATATGTGGAAGGAATTCTGCTTCTCTTTCACAAAGTGCCACGTCTTATAACTATTATTATTTTAATATTAATATTACACGGCGTACAGACACTCCATATACAATATGTAATGACATGGCCCCATGTTCGGTTCATGGCTCTTTTTTCCGCACCGCGCGCGCCACCCGAAGAAGTTTTGACACACAGAGTGCAAAGAGAGCATCTTGCCAACACACACACACACACGCACGCAAGAATGGCAATCGAAGAAGTAGCTCATTAGTATGACAAATTTACGACTCACCACCCATTGGTATGTGACTTAACCCGCCCTCTCTGTCTCGTTTCAGCAGCATCTAGAATGCCATCATCTCATACATCACCGCAAGTATGTAGGCCACATTTTCATGCACCTATCCCATGGTTGAGCGAACCAAAGCTGTCAACGCCCGGCAGTCCGTGGGGAAATCCTTTCGCCTGTCCGCAAGATCCACAGGACAAGGTTAGTCAAGTGCAAAGTCATCAAACGGGTCAACATTTGTTCTCGTTTCCACCCACCCCACCGAAGGACTCCACACCTGATTCAGTACAAACGGGACCAGCAGAATATCAGGTATCTCTCACTTAACACGTTTCGATGGACGTCCTTTAAGCCTTGTTTCGCAACATTTTCCGTTTCCCTGTTGACGCGCCGGATTTGCTCGCGAATGCTTTGGGAAGTTGTTGTGTTTTAGAATCGGATAAAACACGGTTAAAGCAATTTGCTAACAAGACGATGATTTGGACGTGAAATACTCTTATGAAAGGTCGATAAATCTAACATTTTTCCGACAAACAGTTTCGAAGGGCCCCCAAAGCAACATGAATTAATTGACAAACGACAAGATAAGACAGGCAGTTTCAGCTAGTCTAAGAGTGTTGAACAAATCACAGATCATCATTAGGAGTCACAGAGAGAAATTTAGGAGTTAATTTAAGAAAATTTTGCTTGTTTCAGAGCCAGTAATGTTTTTTTCTTAACTTTAGAGAATATTTCTTATTTCCTCTTAAGACTGCCCGAAACTACTCGAGAAGTTTCGAAATATATCTCTCTGTGCAATAATCTAAACTTGAACCTATAGCTAGTTTTTTTTATCTTTTATAATTTTGCTTTCTATTGTGATATTTATCAGCGAAGACATTCATATTTTATGAGAATTAAGATAAGGAAAAATTGTAATCAAAGTTTGGGCAAAGCTTGTTTTTGTATTTTGAAGAATTCTAATAATTCCCGGAAGATTTAATTTGGATGGATATTTGAAAAGATTAGGGATGTGGAGCCATTAGGTGACTATAAAGTTCTGCTATGGATTTTCTCCTTCTGTGTGATCAAATCCACAGAAACACCCTCGACCTTTGAGCCCATTTGCGACCCTCGCGACGAGTGCATTTCATCGTTTTTGTTTTAAGAGGTGCATAGGAACTCTCTAGGCCCCGCTCCAGGACTCTCCCTGTGCACTCATGCCGTGTTCTTGCAAACTGTGTCTTTTCAGGCGGCAGTGAATGCATTTATGCATCAAGCGCAGGCGTCCACAACTACCTCAGTCACGACGGGCGAGACGAATTGTGCGCTGGACGTGAAGCCCCAGATTCCAAATGGGGCGCAATCCACCCCCAAGCAGCGCGAAGGTACGGCGTCGGCCAACAACAACAACACCACCAATAGCAATAATAACAATAGCAGTAGCGCGAGCTTAAACGGCAGCGGCGGCCTGTTCGACGCCTCTCAGAGCGCCGCCGCGGCCGCCTATGCCGGCTATGAGAGCAGCGGCTATGGCTACCACCAAAGTGGCGCCGGCACGTTCCAGGCGGGCCCCACGCGGCCCACAATGAACAGTCCGCACACGAAGCCCCAGCGAAATAAAGCAAGAACGAGCGCTGGTAAGACTCGGACACGGTGTGGGTTTTCCCTATGTTTTTCCCTCATTTTCCAACCTCTTATTTCACCTCAGTGTTTTCTCTATCTTATGTTTGATTTCACACTATCTCTGTTATTTCCCTTTGGTTCCTTACTAATTTTTCTTTTGGTGCTTTTATGTTGACTTTGAGTTTGGAGAAAGAGCTTCAGATGTGAAGAAAAACAAAACCTGAATAACAAACCGGCAGGAAATGTTAAATCTGCTCATTTTAATAATGCATTGTAAAGCTTATTAACCAACTTACAACTTTGCTAAATGATGTGTGAACTTAGCCGTGAATTTAGACAATTTTTTTTAAATGATAATCAAGTGTTTAGATCACAAGATTCGGTGTTAACACTCACTTTGTATTGATTTTCTCCTTTTATTCCTACAATTAACACCTCTTTATACTGAGAAGAAGACAAGCTATTTTACATAATCTTCAATACTTTGTCCATATCATTTCTGTTGGGTTCTTCTTTTTGTGGATTTTATTGATTGTACATATATTTTTTGTGTTATCGTGATCAAATCAATAAGGATCAATTCACAACCAAGCGCCTTTGTTGGCGACACGCTTTATCTGGGCAATTCTGTCAAGCGTGAAGCGCACAATTTCACGTGATTTGCGCACGTGCGAAAGATGTGAATTGGTTGTGAACTGATCATGAGGCAATGCACCAAATTCACAAGAGTATTCGTGTTTTTTTCTGCACTGAATTTTTAGACGGTCTTTTAGTTACAATTGTCTGACATCCTATAAAAAAAATGTGGCTTCAACATTTGTAGAAACTCTATTGAGAGCTCAGCGGAGATGAGTGAGTCTGAAAGGCAAATAGGCGTTCTCCTTTGCAATTGCTCATCTCACCCGAATCTCCATCATGATTGGAGCTTTCGTATGTACGTGAAAATCCAATGAACTTTTCCCAGAGAATGTAATTTGAAGAGTTGGGAATCGCGAGTGAATAGGCGCACTTATTTGCCTTGGAAACTCCATGATAACTCGTGTGGGAGGAGAGGATGGCTAATTATTCCCTCTGTTGTTCTCTTGCCAACAACTAGCGAGGAATACATGTGAAAAGGTTTGCGACTCTTTTTCTCTGCCCCTTTTCAAGAGATATTCTCTGCTCTCCAAAGTGTCGCCATTCTAATGAACACATATAAGAATATGTGAATATTTTCGCGCGCTCAAGAGACATTGTTCTGTGTCGGGACGTGATCATTTTTCACCCACAGATAGTCGCTGCTTTTTTTTCCTCCTTAAATCTTTTATTAGGCTCTAACAATGGATTCTGAATATTTGCGTGAGTAATTATGGGAAAATCTCTTTCACAGCAAATATCGCGCTGGCTCATGAAGGGGGGAAATAAGTGTGTTTTTGCCAGGGAAATTATTGTCAACCCATAAATTTGTATGTAATTTTAATTGGACGGTGAGACAGTGCCAGAGAGACGAAGAGAGGAGACAGAATTATCATCATGTTGCGCTGTGAAAGCGAAAAAAAATGTTCCTGTTTTGCCTTTATGTCTCGGAGAGGAGGAGGAGGAGGAAAAAAAGCACACACGATGAATGAGGAAAGGAGATGAGAATTTGGGCACTTGTGTGTCACACGGGCAGGAAAATTTATTTATTCCAATATAAGGAGACAAGCACACTTGGCCAAATGCACACGTAAAGCAATATTAAATTTTAGTAGAACAATAATTTCTATAAAATTTGACATTTTCTCCTATCCTCGAAACTCACCTTCTTCAACTCTCGGGACCCCAAGAATGGTCGCTTGGCAGTCGAGCTGGTCGAGAGAGTGTGTGGCTTTTTACCTCTGCAGCCAACATGAGGAACAAAACGACGAAATTTAAAGACAACAGAGCACATAATAAAAAAATCGACAAAAAATTTAGTGCCGGACAGAGGACATAATTTTTAAGTGACAGTTTTCGGAATTCTGGTGAAGAAAACCTCTTGTTAAATAATACACGGAGGGATTTTTATATGCTCGCTGGTGGTTTAATAAATACTCCACGGCGTGTAAAAAAAAATATAGACAGAATCTTCTCCTTTTGCCTATCGTCGGACACATTCAGACATCTCACCGTCCAGACTTGAGAAAGTGAAGGTGCATTTCCGCTTGGCGATTTCAGCGTCTCGCACACGATTATTTATTGATATGTACAAGGAGCCAAATTGACTAATACACGCTTTAATTTCCCTACAAAATCGATTTTATAGCATTTTGAGCGGCGGAACGGTGTGGAAAAGAGCACGCAGAATAATCAATTTCACACCAAATGAAGTGCTGAATCCGTCATTGCTTCTTAAACACTGGAAAAGACCGATCAACAGACATTGAAGCTTGACAACAAACCGAGAAATCCCAAATTCTCTTTCATTTCAATTACCAATTTTTTTTTTGATTTCTTACTTATGATTTGATTGTATAAATAACACAACGTGTCTTTGTCTTACATGCTTAAGCTTTCATTATATTCTGTGCCGTAATATCACCTCTGTAATGTCATCTAGCTTTTGATGAACGATATAATGAGAACAGCGAGAACGTGATACTCTCGCCCGAAAAAAAACACCTAGTAAAATAAATACATAAAACACTGAGAGCATAAATCTATTCAGTGTGTAATTGCCGAATTATATAAAATTCTCTCCTTCTCTCTCGCGAGATCCACTTTTGATAAACACACACTTTGACGCGATCACCACAAATGGTGTTTATTCTTTGCGCGACTTTTAAGCACACTGAATGACGATTACTAATTACCACTCGTGAAAAAGGCGCACTAAAAAAGGCGATGGAGTAAGAGGAGTTTTATAGACAAACAGATGCTGAAGTCAATATTCATAAAAATGGAGGGAAAGAGGAAATTAATGTATAGAAGTGATGCAGTAAAATCCTAACCCACCTCAATAATTTTAATTAGAAATAAGCTACATTTTATTGAGTACTATAGTAGTTTTTTCTGCGCCTTCTCTCCTACTTGTCCTCGAGCCGCAGCTAAACGGAATGCCAGCTGGAATGCCTTAAAAAAGCCTCTCTCACTCTGTCTTTTCCCAATGTACGCGCCATTAAGTGGTGAAAGAGCAAATTATCCTATTTGGATTTTGCTACTTAAGAGAGTGGATCAGACAAAAAAGCAAACAGAGACAAATCATAAAGTATATAAAATGAGGCATCGCTGAGTTGAATGTTGAAAATTCCCATGCCTTCTTCTTCAGCGTGAATCATCCTTATTTATGCATGAAAAAAGAAATATTTCGCATTCGTGGTTTGGGACCTTTTGAGAAATAATCATTGGACAGATTCGTTTGGAAATTACATGTGAAATGATTGCCGTCTCATTTTCATTCATAATTAAATCAATTTGTTAGTGTGAGATGGAAAAAAACCACCACAAGGAATCTATCGTCCAGCAAAGTCACTTTTTTTTTCGTCTCTCTTGTCCTGTTTGGCTGTTGGAGAACAAAAAAAAAGATGGAGTGACATAAAATACAAATAAATGTATAAGAAGGCAAAATATATTCTCATGAGTGAGAGGAGAGAGAGAGAAAAGGTACAGATTTGAGTTGTCAAAAAACAATTTAAGTATAAAATATCGTCTGGTTCCTGAATGCCATCCAAATTTCTCATACCTCATCGAGGAGAGAATCACTGGAGACATTCCATAGAATACCTGAGCTGTCCTCACAGCTATATTTTGAAGAAGATCATTAAGTGACTGATTTATTAACGGTCAGAGTGGTTTTCTGAAACTTATACTAAAAACACCATCTCACATTTGTTAGTCTCGTTAGAGGAGACTTTCTTATTTTTTATTAATCTCCCCTATTCGCTCTACAATCTCCCCGTCCTTCTCGGTCTCTCGCCAACTAATCGTGGCACGAATGTGTACGGAAATATATTTGAATATATGTATAACGCGCTCAGTTAATCATTTTCTCCCCAGTGGATCTACCTTAAATATCGATTTGGACAGATAAACCCGTAAAATGGTAAAAATACACAAGACTTTTATTTATGTCTAATTGCTACTGAAACTCAGCGATTCTGGACGCGAGAAGAACACATCACGATCCAGGCATCCAATCCAATTCACTCGCCTGTCCATAATTCTTGTCTCTCTCTATCTTCCCGTGAAAACTCACTTGCCCAATTCCTCAAAAAAAGAAAAAGAAAAAGAGATACCAAAAGTGTCTCTCTGGGGAAGTCTTGGGAACAACCGTTGAGGCGCATAAATTAATAAATTTATTAGTAATTTCAATATTCATGATTATTACAGGCTGACTGGCTGTGGTATAACATTTCGTACCTCCGTCACCAAAGTACATAAATCATTCCTCAAGCATGAGGCGATTGACACTTCTCTCGGACTTCGATACTCTTCCACAACTCCATTTGCCCATCGCGCATCATTGTATGGCCAAAAAATAACGCCATACAGAACGCTTTTGGCTCTCTGTCCTCGCCTTCCTCGCCAGAACAACAAACATCAATCCCTCGCGTTTGCTCTTTTTCTTCCCCGAATGTCACCTCATCGCACTTTCCAATCATGTGTGACATTTTTTATGCTGTCTCGTTTCGTCGATCGATTGAGGATCCCATTAATTTTACACCTGTTTAAATGTCTCTTGCCCGCTTTCGCGGCCACTCCGAAGCCACCCTATATTTAAATTGAACTCTAATTACAGACATAAGTCACTTACTTGTAATTACTGTGCAAATGACAAAATAAAGTCGTCATGAGTGTGCTTTACGTCTCGGGAAGTGTTTAAATTTAAGGGAGGGTCGAGAGAAGAATCTCACCTTGGCGAGAAATCCGCGAAAATCAGGAGAAGAAAGTGTGTTTATCAAAGTGTTAGGGATAATTGTGGCAATTTTCACTAACACAACTTGTAAAATTAACAATCCTTAATATTGCTCACTTGTTGATCGAATGGTTTGATTCGATTTTTGTCATTTTGAGTGCTTTTCACTTGACATAAGCTTGAAAATGAGGCTGAAAAATCGCTAAATTCCAAGGGAAAAGTCATTAATCGATTTTTAAACTTCTAAACTTGAAGATTTATTAAGATTTGTATGGAAAAATTATGATCTGAAAACATAAGTGACTTTTCCCTTTGATAAACTCTCAATTTTATCACTTAAACATCCCAAAATCGAGTTTTTCCGTTTTTATCAGACAACGAGCAATTCTGTATCTGAGTTCTTTCAATGTGAACATCACTGTTTGACACGAAAGATTTCCTGCACAGTGTGTAAATCGCCTGAATAGACTAACACAGTGGAGATGGGCAATATTCCTGCATAGGTCATGGTTAAATATAGGCGCCAAAGTCGAAATCTATAATTGTATCTGATCATTTGCATGTTCTTTCTTTCAGAGGGTAGAGAATGCGTAAATTGCGGTGCAACCTCAACGCCACTGTGGCGAAGAGACGGTACTGGACACTATTTGTGTAACGCCTGTGGATTGTATTATAAAATGAACGGACAAAATAGACCACTTATTAAACCGAAACGAAGACTGGTAAGTGTATAATGCATACTGTACTCTAATCTTCCGCCCACACTTTCTGTCAATCGATGAGTAATTTCAGTTATTAGGACTGTGCCTTTGACATTTCACAGAAGAATTTTACTTCGCCAAATATTGATCTAAAGCCGAAATATTTGACTCGGACAAACAAGAAACACAGGGGAAAATTTTTTTGCTGAGGGTTGTTTTTTGGAGAAAATACAATTTCCAATAATCCAGACACTTGTTCAGAGAATTACGGCGTGTGTTCAGTGGCATCATGAGATGGCATTGTTAATTGATACGCGCCTGTTTAATCGTTGTTGTCTCATCTTGTTAACGTGTTTTAATTAAATGTGATATTTTGTGGTGTGTGCTCTTCATATTTAATATCACTGCCTTAAGTTTTATAGTATTATATTAAGGGAGGGAAAATGAAACTCTTCATCCAAAGCAAATTAGTAAATTTGCATTGGAATCGCTTGTAGATGTCGATAAATTAATTAGCATATCGTGGACTTGTGTTATTTTATTACCAACTAAAATGTATTATACACTCCATTCCGGTGAAGATATTATGGAAGTTAACATGATAAGAAAATTCTCGCCGCGTGATTTCTCCGCAAAGCATGGCATGGCTTTTCGGGGAGGCAGAAAAACCAGTTGACAAATACACTGCGTTCATTTTAATTAAACAGTAGTAAAAATTTTCTGCATAATGTCAAAATGTCATGCGGATATCGATGTGATATATTTGAATCTCAGGAGATTTTGATGGCTTCATTGGGTGAAGAGAAAAATAAAGAGGCCCCCAAAAAAATGAAGCTCTTGAGCTTTCCCTGGAAGTCTGGGAAAAATGAAATGCAAAAAGAACCATCATCTGAACTGACACGAATAGCATCAGAAATAAAACTAATAGTCACGAAGTTGTTACATTATATACTATGAATTTGTGATTTAATGCCATCATTACCATAAAAATCAATTACTTCACTGCCTTTTTTGCTGCTCACCAACATTCCCTTTTGTTAGACTTTCCGCCCTACTCGAGTCCGCGCTCGCTTCCAAAGAAATTGATGATAAAAAAGTGTTCTACGAATCGTCAGAGTAACAACGAATTCCTCACCAACACTCATTAGTCGGGGCGATATTTAAATACGTGAAAGCTCGCATTAATGGAAGTGCGCGCTTCTGAACTATGATATACAATTATATTGGGGAATCTCACAATCTTCCCTGTCGCGCGTCTAATCCTTGCACTGCTCATGCCTCGGAAGAGGTGTAAAAGATGCAGTGTGATAAGTAAATCGAATTTAGGCTAATAAATTTGAGTCAATTGATAGACATCTTTTTGTGCCGCGCGCCCGCTTTTCCACATAAACCAATAATATATGGCGAGCACGCGGCCAAAAAGAAAGATTATTTGCGTTTTTGCTCGCGTCTCTTGATATTCTTGTGGTCAGTGAATTGGTGTCTAAAAGCACAATAAAAAGAAGAAAGTATCATATTTTTTATTGCACTCTTGATCCGCCATCGCGATTGTGTGTGTGTAGATTCATGATACATTTGATCATGCCATTGATCTTAATAATTTTCGTGAATGAAATATCTTGATTTATGAGATTGAGGGTCAAATTTGAATGATTGCCGCTAACTGAATTAAAATCATACAGGAATACTTTTGTCAGACTCGATAACTAAGGCCATTTGCAGGTAGCAATTGTCAAGATTTATTGCTTCGCGCGCAAGTTGTTTTTTTCTAGAAAAAAAAGAGCGGCGACTCGATAAGCGGATTGAGGCGTAAAATTCTTGGCAGAAACTTGGGCAGAAATCAGACTCAGAAATAGAGAGCATTTGAAATGTGCCAAGAGCGTCTGTGATAATGCGATAATATTGCATGATTTCTCTATGTCATGATCGATTTCTTGTGCCGAACAACAATGGCAATGCTCACAGGATGATTAACGCGAAAATATAATTTTTTTTCTGCAGTCAAATTGCTATATAATTAGCATCCAACGATCTCCACTTAATTAGTATAATTTCATTTAAAGATGTGTAATTTATACATGACAATATAATGCAGTCGAATTATCTACAGATGCCGATCGATGTGCGATCGTATCGCACAAATTATTAAATGTCAATTACACCATTGAATTTTGTTGCTAAAAAATCCCAAGGTAACGACAGACACGCCAATTGTTTTCTTGCACTTCGCGCCCAACTTGCTGAATTCAATAACTTGCGCACACACAATTAATTAATAATGAAAATAATATGAAGACGAACCAAATATTATATATCAAAAAGCGAGACTATCAGAGCTGACTATCAAAGGTCACCATCTTCGGGCATTTATGCTCAAAAACTCTCCACTCGAATCTAACGAAGAACAATGATATGCAAATTCCCAGAGCTTTGCCGAGCCAACGAGCGAACGTTCAAAGTGTGTTTTGGTGCTTTTGCATTCAGCAAATGAGATAATTTGCAGGTAAACACAATTAAATGGAATTTATTAGTGGACTGAGTGTTGCGAAGTAGTTCAATGTTGCCGTATCGCCCAATTTTGAGACTCAATAAAAATTATTATTGTTGGCAATAAAATTACAATCCAGTTGGAAGTGCTGCTTACACATGTTATGCCGTGGATAGATTGCTGCCGCGCTCGCTTGTTTAATGAAACCCAACTCAGTGCTAAATCAAAATGAAGGCGTGCCGATGAGGTAATGAACGAGCTCTTTCATCCTGACCAAAGACCTCTCCATCCGCCGCATTCAGCTGTGGCTATTTAGGTTACACTGGGCGCGATTCGCCAGGCTTGCGAGAGAAGCACAAGAGTATTGAAAGTCAATTTTTCCAGCGGGGCAAAAAATTGAGGATGTGTTTCTCTTGCTTTTCCTCCTTCTTCTCTAAAAATACACTCAATCTGTATTTGATACCCTCGCGAAAATCACCAACAGCCAGAGTGTGATGCACTTTATATATATATATACGATTTTGCGTGTGAAAACGTGCTCATAAATTGGTCAACTTGGCAGAATCTTGTCCTCCTCCCAATCAATAAAAGGAGAAGCGCATTTCTACAATAAAATTTCATGCAACTGCAATAAATACAATTATACATCTTGCTTTATGAGACACACCGTGATTTTCCCCCTTAATTGATTTTCTCTCCCCTCGGCTTTTCTGCACTGAGAGAAACAACGCAATCAACAGACTTCATTTTGCGTTAAAAAGGTCGTTTAGAGCGTTCTTTTCTTGGTTCTTTTGCCCTGTTTTTCTCTTTAAATTAGTGAAGAAAAGGGTTTTTCAGAAACAATATATTGGAATGATTTCAAGACAATTTTGTCTTGAATTTTTGATGAATCTTTAAACACTTTGAAGCATTTTCTATATTATTTTGCTTGGAATAATCAATTAAATAGTTTTTCTAGGTGATGTGATTGATTTAAAATGAATTCTGGAGATTAAATAACTATTTTTGTGATTATAGAATGAATGAAAATTAGTCCAAGAATGTTTTTATAAGCTACATTCATAACCTCAAATTTTAGTTTGATGTTTTATAAGCATTTTCATGCAAAATTGTTTAGAAACAGTTAAAGAATTCTTAAAATCGCTGGAAAATGCTTTCTTTATGGCGGTTTCAACTTTGCGAAACTGTATCTTATTTTAAAATCTATTGAAAAGCTTGGAAGATTGATAATTTTTTCTCTCAGTGCTGCTCATCCTCTCCGAATGTCTCTCATTCACGCCACAGTAATTCCTTTTCGCTCCCGAGCACAGAGTAGATAAACCACCCGGAAATCGATTTAAGGGACCGTTGATCTCGCTTTGCGATTCCCTTTCGGCATCTGTGTGACAGTTTCACTCCAACCCTTGGCCGAGGGCCTCAAACTGTGTTGCGGCGCGGGTTTCAAGGTGTCGATTAGCGAAGCGAGAGATGGCAATATTTTGGTCTGGCCCGAGTTCACTTAACCCCTAAAATACGATGAACAGAGGGTGCCAAGCAGGGGGATTTTTGAAGGGTGAGAAATATCGACCAATCACGTGACTCTCAAAAACCCTAGCAACCCCATGAAAATGCTTAGCAACGAATATTTCACCACGCCCTTGGGGCGCATTTTGCTGTGTTGGCTCAAGAGTTCGGGCCGTCAAAATGAGGAGAAAATGCAGATGCAGCGTTTTTCGGGAGCACTTTAACTTTTCACATGACTTTCAACGGGTTTTCCGCGTGTGCTTGAGCCGCCGATTAGACTCTGGTTGGGATTCTGGTATTGATTTCATGGTGTGGCGCTTTTTGTTCGCCTGTGGCGCGCTTATGAAATTAGTCCTAATGGGTGTCAATGTCAAATGGCCAGTCTCTAGGGCAACAGAGAGGCACCCAAACAAACACCATTCCGTGCCAGTAGCTTTTCAATTGATAACGTGTTGCAGCGCCTGTCGATTTCTCGGCTGCTCAATATCCTGTCCAGATGAGAACCCCATTATTTGGGGCGTCGCAGCTCAAGAGAATCAAACCCATTGATCTTGTGTGTTTCTCACAATCCTTTTGCCTCTTCTGCGCTCATCCGCATCACAGCTATTTGGCAGAATTTTAATTTATCGGAAATCCGCGCTGTGCAACCTCCCAATCTGTCTGCATTTTTAATCAGAATCTCATAAATGAAATTAATTTTGGGCCGAATCCATAAGTTCCCACGCTTTTATTATGCTCTCTCTCTCCCCCAAATCATTTATGGGGAACGCACAGCTCTATTTGGGACATGTGGTCCTCCTGCAGTTTTATTGACTTGTCCCGCGCGCATTAAGATGGCGATGATGATGAGAGGATCTTTAGCTCTCGATCATCTTCCTAACAAGCCAGAGGGAAATAAAGCCAGAGCGATCGTCATAATGTGATTGACGTTATTTGTTTTTACACGGACGATGACGCGATATTTCTCCTCATCCCAACAAGAATTCTGTGTGTGTTATTGGGCGAATTAAACGATGAAATTTTGATTTGTTCAGGAGAAATTTGATACGTGAAGGTGATCTACACTCCGATGGGATTGCCTGAGCCGTGTTCGCTTTCAGCATTGGCCTGAAGAAGGGCCGAGAGAGAAAATATAGGAGAAGATTGAAGGCATATAGAGATCATATACACTCACTGTAGGTGAGAATGACTCTATGGAAAGTTGATTGGCAAGATGTTTTGGCACAGCAAGACATTTTATTATTGTATTTGAGGCGCTTTTTGTTATTTTCCATGGTGCGATTCATTGTTGGTTTTTTATATTTACTCGTATCTCCACATTACATTGTTTCGATAAGAGGATAAATGGGTTAAGCAAGCTATTCTCCACTCTCGATCGAAGATGATCTGCCAGATTTCTCTCAGATATGATTTTTTATTGCTCCCGTTTATATTTTCATTCTCCTTTATAACCGATCGTTGTGTTTTTTTTGTATGGCGACGCGGCGTTTGTGTATGTGTTTTATTCGGCCACTTCTTTCGATTTTTGATTTATCGGCCTGCCTCACCTTCTTATATCGAAAAATCTTCGTCTCTCACGAGCCACTCAAGATGCGATTGTTCACATGCGATGCGCCCCGGCGAATACCTTCAGCCCAGCGCAAACCTGTGAAGATTCACACGAAATTAAAAGGACAACAATAAATTACACTCTAAAGCCGCACTGTCACTCTCTTATATATCACAATTCTGCACAGCAGAACAAAAGCAACGAAAGTGATATCCGAGAGTCGCAAGTACTTCGCCAGCAAACACCTCAAAACCACCTCGAGGACAAACGTGGTGAGCTAATGCATAATCGTGAATAATTTGGGCATTCATAACTCAATGCTTTGGTACATTGCGAGGTGGAGAGAGAGAAAAAAAAAAGCGAGAGAATCGTTAATAAATTGTAGCGATTTGTGAGAAAATTTGTATGAATGATTACAGCGCAGGAAGCATGTTACACACCTGGCGTGTGGGTCGATAAAGGAAATATCTAATTAATTTAATTAAATTCCTATATTTATGCTCAATAGCTTGAATATGTAATGTATCACAAAAAAATTATGCAAACTCATCCGACTTTAATAATTTTCTCCGTATATGCAGTGTAAATTTTATGTATTGTGCTACAAAAATACTCATCTTGATTATAAAATTTGATTAGATTTTCATTTATACACACACAGAGAAGAGATTCAGTGCGGTGAAAAGGAACATGAAGAATCACTTTTTAATGCGGTGAGATATTAGATTTTCTCCTTAAAGAAATTCGATGAAATCTTGACAATGTAAACTTCAGCAATCCAATCGCCAAATCTGACTGGGTAAAGTTAATCTTATTCTTCGTTTGTAATTAAATCCCTCATTCTTTAGGCAATATTATACAATGGCGTTTGAAATTAAACAAACCTTCATTCAATTGGATTAGAGCGAATGATTGACAACCTTTAAATTGGTATTTTTGAGCTTTAAACTTTCAGTGTATTTCTATGACGCCAAATAAGTTACTCACTTCCTCGGATTTTTAAGAGTTTATCGCTTACGCAAGTTTACAAATAATCTAAGATTCTGGATATTAAGGATGGCGATTGTGTTAAACACTTCACCACTTTTATAATTTGCAATTCTGATTCATGCGTGTTAAGCCAATTTGTACCGTCTGAATATGTTATTTTAAAATGACCTCCAAAGGCTATTTTAATGTGTCAAAAGCAAAGTGACAGTTCGGAAGCTGTGAAAGTTGCAAAAATTGATCGATCTGTGACAGTTGTTTGCATTTTTCAAGCGTGAGCATGAAAAATTTTGCAGTAAATTCATTTTATCATAGATTTCTTATTTATTTACTTGTATTTGAATGATGAGTCTCTTACTGAATAATATTGAACTTTTACATGTTTCAACGTGTAACATTCTTCAGTTTGAGTGGGAATCGCTCCTTAGATCTAAACTTGTACTAAAGTCTAGACTTTGAGCAAGAAATGCTGTAAAATTCGGCATTAACCTGTCAAAGTAGAGCAGTTAGGATTCCATAACGTTCAAACCTCCAAAATATTCACATCCATTCGGCGTCTGGCGAGGCGAATAAGGATGATTGAGGCTTATAAAAGAGAATTTGTTCTCTTCCAGTGTGTTTTGTGTCCATGATTGAAAATCTTGACTTTTTTACAAAGTCATTTCAGGCTAATAACAACAATGAAATCTAACATGATGGTCTCTCAGTGAAGTATTTAAATGGAATAACATAACAAGAATTAAATGTGTTTTTTTTTTTCTTTCTCTCATTCAATCTGTATAATTTTTCGGGGAGACTTACATATTCTCATGTATTTATAGCGGCAATGTGCAATGTCATTGTGGAATTCTCTTCGGGAGATCTTTTACCATTGTGCCGGCATATCGCATACTTATGGATCTAATCGGACAGAGATTAGATGTCTAACTTACCAAATGACTTCTCCATGCCATCTCTCTATTCTACATTGAAAAATTGACTGATCAACAATGCTTCACGATTATTTTTTCTCTTCATTTTATTATAACTTTCATGGTCAGTCTGTTATCCACTTAATTAAATTGAAAGATTCAAAGTTTTATACCACAAGAAGACTTCAGACCGAGCGACTCCATGATTTCTCCCACCAACAGTGATTAATGATTCACTTCCGTTAAATGTGAAAGAGGTTTTTTTTTATTTTCCTTCAGTTCTTGTGAAAATTAAAGCTTGGCACTGAAGAACCTCAGTGGCTTCAATTTTGCAATCCATCCGGGAAATTCACAGCCGTGAATGTCATTCTGCTGGGGCGAATTCTGCTGCAAAATGCGCGCCATGGAAGTTCTCTAAGGACCTCCGTGCCTCACATGGTGTTGCTGGGCTGGGAAATTTATGAGTTCTGGGTGAGACGCCAACAGGAAGTGCGTGAGGATTAATTTTAGGCGAAAGAAATCTCCTTCGCTCACAATCCCTATCGGCGCTTCAGTCGTACACCTTCTGATAGCCTCATTTTAACGGCGTTAATTTTATGTTTATGGACATGCCTTTCTATATGCGGTGTACTCTATTTAGTTTTATGGGCTTTTCGCGAGTTTCTCGTGTCCGGTGAACGTCTTATTGAGATCACGGGATGTCTTGACCTGAATTTCTCGCCGAGAATCATAATCATTCACCCTCCCCTTGCGGCCGGCATGGCGAAAGTGTATTAATGTCATCCATCCGGAGCGAGGCGGTGGACATGAAATTAAATTGGAAGCTCCTTCGGAGAATTAAGGTGCTCTCGCTGGGATTTTTTAGCAGCAGCAGCAGAGCACTGGCGTATGAGTCGACAAGATGATGGATCATCCATCTTTGTCATGACGAGTGACATTCAAAATTTGAAATAAATTGATCGAACTTCTTTCTGATTCCGCGTCAAAGAGTAGCTGAAGGAGCATTGAGAAGAGTAACCCAAAAATGCTCAACATCCACAAATTCCTTCGTTATTTTTCACTCACATTTATAATGTGTGTGCTTTTTACATGATGCGCCTCGGCTCTGAATATCAAATGTGATGGATTTCAGACGTACATAGCTGGGGAGTTTTTAGTCCAGGAGTTGAGCAGCGAGAGTACAAAAAGTAATGAGTGGGCGTTTAGAGAGCAACTACTCAGTTTGTCTTTATATCTCTATAACATTACAGTTTCGCTGTTCGCTTTATTTTTTTTCTTTGTTATATAAAATGAAAATTTATTCATAGGGAGGAATTGGAAATATAAAGCAAAAGAGGAAGTTGATGTGTATTTTATTACTTAATTTAATGCAAAACACACACAAACACACTCAAGAAATACCTCAATTGCTTGATTGTCTTTACATAAAAATCTAATAACCGACCATTGGCCTCTTTGCAGTCACTCCAAAGTGCCGCCAGAAGAGCGGGAACCTCTTGTGCAAACTGCAAAACTACAACAACAACCTTGTGGCGACGAAATTCAAGCGGTGAACCCGTCTGCAATGCCTGCGGACTCTACTTTAAGCTACACAATGTGAGTATATCTTGACGGAGATTGGGAGAGAACACCCCGATTTCCAACCCTCTGAACGTTGCCCAAAAGTCTATCAAGAGAGGCAACATCATCCGAGGCGGATGCATTGACTCACAAATGAGGGGTTGACTGAATAATAATATTGTTTTTCGATACATATTGCATTCATTTGCTCGTTAGGGGAATGATTTACTCTCTGGTGTACTTCTGGTGGGGTGAATTGCCGTATCTGGGCGATGCTGTGCGCCTGGTATGATGAATGAAGAGGCGAGGGATGGAATTGCTTAAGCGATTTTATACCCCATTGACCAGTAACTGGGCTATTTTGTACACGGATTAGAGATCACTTCCCACATTGAACAATGCTGAGACACCGGAAAGGGTGGAAAATTCAATTTTTGGGGGCGTCGATGTGGAAACACTTTTGCGTCTTATCCATTTGCCACATATGTATGTGCTTTGTAGCCCATCGAACCCTCGAAATTTCCCATCAACGCCAAGGAGGGATGAATTTTCACGCAACTTTTAATCGCTAATTTATTCACCCAGCCTCTCTTAATTCCTCATACTCGCATTGACGGCATGAACAAGTCAGCACTTGGCGGAAGTGGATAAATTAGAAAAGTTTCTTAGCTCTCCCAGAAATATTTACCAGGAAATTACCCCGAGGGTGTGTGTCTTTCAAACATAACTCCTGGGCTTCCTGCGCCCATTCAATCTCATTATGTTAATTTCGCGGAGCATAAATTGAATGAAGAACCAAAAAAAATCCTCATGGACTTCACAAATAGACTGCAGTTTGTGACTCAAGCCCGAGATTGGCAATATTTGATAAGGTTTGCTTATTTTTAGAGGAAGATTTTGAACGCATTCCCATCTCGATAAGACGCCAAGCACTCGTGATATGTGTGCAGTTGTGTGTGTGGATTTTTCTTGGAAAATTCCTCCTCGGCTCATGTGCAGCATTACCCTAATTAACGATGGTGGAATCTGCAATTACTCCCAATTGAGCATCCACAGCAAGTCCTCTTCTGGAAATATTCGTCTCACAGTTTTTTTTCTCACTCAAGACATCTCTCTTGACATTGTCATGACTGTGGTTTGTCTCAATTCATGCAATTCTATGTAATCTATAGGCTGTGGGTACGTAATCAGGCAATTAATTTACAATTAAATTGACATTTTGCAAAAGTGGAGCAAATTTATTCTGCTGCCTTCTTTAATTCCTCATAACTTGTCTGCACATAGTCGCGAATTATTACTTAATTATATGTTTGAAATCTTTCAAATATGACACATTAGCGATAGAGAGACTCTGACTTGCGTGGGTTTTTGACGCCAAAGATTCCTCGACATTTTTGCATCTGGCGCAGGACAATGTCGATAATACATCCTTGACGATTGTACAGTAACAATAAATAACCACTTATGTGTTGTATGAAAAGAAGTGTATTTTCGTCCCTCCTCGAGGAGAAGAAGTCCCACTTTTCTCAGCATTGTTGTAGAGAAAATAAGCACTTGGTGACACAATTCGAGCAGTCGGAAGTTTTTCCTTTTCGGGCCTTTTTATGTTGGAATCAGAAGGAAAAGTATAGAGTTTGGCTCTCCAGGTATATTTAGAAATTAAATAAAAATCACTCAAGGGCCCACCACTTATGCCTATAATCGCATTCACCCAAAGGCCTTTTCATTGCGATTGTCGGCAATTTCTGCACCACATTCCATTCACATCCTCATCCACTAATCGTATCGCTTACTCTTTTCACGATACATTGTGTCACACTACATTGAACACCCCAAGAAGGGGCGCACATTTTGTCTGTTTGGCAAAAAAAGGAAATTGATACCTTTTTGGCTTACAAGGACCCTCGATTTTTTTCCTCTCTTCGCCCTCCACTTTCGCCCAGCAATCTCAATTGCAATGTGCGACACTTTCCGTGCACCAGAATTGTAGCTTTTTCATCATTGCTAACAGGCTTATCAGAAAAGAATGTTTCAAGGGGGAGATAATACAGTCAGAAGTGGTGTTAAACTCAGCGGAAGTGTCTAATCATCCCAATTCTGTGGATTTGGCTTGATTTTTGCGCAGAAACAATCAAAAAAAAATCCTTTTCCAGGTTATGTAACTAATCAAAGACAAATTTAACGAATAATTCGCATTTTAGCACATCAATTCTTATGCTAATATCGAAGATCTCGCTAGTAATCGACAGAATTTGGTATTTAAATTTAATAACATCGCTTTTCTGAAGCTTTGATGCCAAGAAATACTGCAATTTGTATTAAGATCAAACATAACCTCAAAAAGAATAATTAAACCTTGCAAAATGTTTATTTAAAAAACTTTTTGGAGGATTTTGCTTCTGAATCAGCGATTTTCAGTCGATTGACGAATGATAAAAGATGATTTTGTGATCTAGAAAGCTTCTAACCAAAGTTTTCAAAGATCTTTTTGTGATATTTAGAGGTTATGGTCGGAAAAGATACTCAATAATGCGGTTTGAAGTAGATTTTTTTTAGAAATATCTAAAGAAATTCAGGCATATTTGGGAGTGTCATATTTTGTACCCTTGAAATTTTCAGTCATTTTCCAGGCGTCAAGAATAATTTAAATAGTTAAACCTTTAAAAACGTGACTTCAGTACAAATTTGGGTCATTTGATTCCCCTAAAATGCATTTCCAGAGATTCTCTGGGATAAATTTGAATCGAATACACTTTATGAACTCATCACGAGATGAAAATGCTTTGCCTCCTCATTGTTGTACGCCACTGTTCCTGTCAAAGCGGTCATCCCTTCTTTGTGGCACTGGATTTCTAAATTCCTATCTTAAAACATCTCGCAAGAGAACGATAAATCTGCCCTCTCTCTCGCTCATCTTTCTCTCTAAGATGATTTTGCAAAATATGAAACATGTAATTAAAATGCCTGGCCCATGTTCACACTCCATGTACAAAATACCACCATGATGAACAAAAAGGTATCTGAGTGTGTTTAGTAATGGCATAAATTCCAATTATAGTGTGATTTGGTACAAGCTTGAAAAATGCATCAATATTGCGCTTAAAAAATGATCTCTCGATGATATACTCATCCCCGTAGCTGTAGATTTGATAGAAATAGAGATTATTGCGAGGTTTATTAATTAATTACAGTGTTTGTGAATGCTGTAATAACACGCAGAGTAATTAAAGAGAAAATGCTTTAAATATAATTTTTATTTTCGCCTTACACAATTCACCAAATTTGTTTTCGATTTTGGTTATGATTTCGGTCTCAAAAGGCAAAAGAGCAGAAATTTGAAAATAACAAAAGCCATATATTTCCACCCGTCACATGTGCAATAATCATCCGTGTAGCGTGTTTTGGTTGAAGAAGTGAAGGAAAAAAATGAATTCTCTGCTCATTTTTCTCGTCTACAACATTTGTTACTTCGCCAGAGAGCAGAATATAAAGAATAAATTGTCGAATCATTTTGTACGCACATTAATCTGATAATGTCAGTGGATTCATCTCATTTAACCATCATCGCTCATCACCAGTTCACAGACTTTCATCTCATTTTTCTTCCTCTCTCCACTCGCGCCATCGCGCGTCTCTCGCTCACCCTCATGATCGCTCCACATTCCCCTAATCCGCCCGAATGGCGCACAAGTGGGATTTCAGCAATCACGCCAGACATCAGTCGCTGGATTCTCGGTAGAGCCGCGCTCTCGAAATTTTGCATTTGGCCGCTGCCGATGAGGAGGTCACCGCACGCGACACTGTGCGGAAGAAGAGGTCTCTGTCGTCGCTAAATCGAGCGGAACGATCCACGCGCGCCGGCTCGCGAGCATAGCGCCGAGCACACACCTCTCTCGCTCTCTCCGCTGCCCAATTCATCTCCCCGAACACACAATCCACATAAATCATTTAACTGAAAACGAAAACAAATCAAATGAGACACAATTAGTCCCAAATTGAATCAATCAAACCCTTTTCTCGTGCTGCTTCTATGCCCAAATTACTATGCACACACACACTATGCGCTATATTTGGCGGCGTAGCCATAATTACACGTACAAAATTGTCCATAATCAGAGACTGAGTAACAGGTGAAGGAGCTCCAGAAGTCGCTAAAGAGGAATTTTCAAGATATCGAGCACTGATATCAATACCAATGTCTGAAAATCTACCATTTCTTCTATCTTTATCTCAGTATTTGTAAAGGGGGAGATAATGTGTCTGAAATCTGCACACCACTTCGTCACACTACTGACAGTCTCTCCAAATCTGAAAATGAGTAAATATAGTAAATATCTCAATGTTTCTAGTAGATACAGTCATTGAATTTGCCAATAACAAAACAAAAATACATTTTTCTGGACTAAAGCGATATTTTGAGGTTATGTTTGGCTTTCAAACTGGTTTTTAGTACTGAAAGTTAGTTAATCTGATATTTTTTGACTCAAATACTCAACTCTGACACAAAAAAGATATATTTTTTGCCAGTTTAAGTGTATTTTATTACCATCAGAATTCATTTTAAATCAATTACATAACCTAGAAAAGCTATGAAATTGATTTTTCTAAGCAAAACAATATAGAAACTTTCCTAAATTTGTTAAAACTGACGCTTTTGCTGCACAGATATTCTAAATATTTAAACACTTCTAATTCTTAAACCTTCAGCAAAAACCGTACACCAGTTCTCACCATAATATCTGCCCCTTGGTATTTGTATCCAGGGTCCCGAGACGCCTCCAGACGATCTCAAATTGACGGAATTGCCAGGGATTTCACAGAGAAATCGTGCTAAATTGTGTCTCATTGCCCTGACATTGCAGGTAAACCGGCCAATGACGATGAAGAAGGAGGGTATTCAGACGCGCAACCGTAAACTGTCGTCCAAGTCCAAAAAGAAGAAAGGCGGAGGCGGGTGTATCCCACTCGGTGGTCACCTGGGACTCGGTGGTGGCGTCGGTGACATCATGAAGCCTTTGGATCCGTCCAAAGCTTTCGCCGGCAGCTTTTCGGCCTCAATGGGTAGGTTTACGCCATTGTGTCGATGGCACGAACTTAACACTTCACCGTCTAATCCGGCAGGACAACACGGCCACTTGTCGGGAGGACTGCATCCCGCCCATGCTCACATGCACAGCGGCTGGTATGCGAGCGGAATGGGGGCGTTGGGCGCCTCTGGGAGTCTACAGGGTGGCTTCTCGACAACAGGGAGCCTCGGAGGCGGCGTAGTTCCACATTCGCAATCCTATCACCTCGCAGGACTTGGCTCAATGGTGAGTGTTGCCGCAATTGTTGCCTAAACAGCCTTTTCTCATGCCCAATTGTGTCCATCGAACTGCAGGGTTCTTGGCGGTCAGATTACACGTGATGGAGTGATAACAGCCTAAATAGTAATATCTTCACCTTTGGAGCATCATCAGCATCGTGTAGCAAAACACTACAAAAATATGAATCAAGTACAAATTACTGAATTTTCTTGCCTGTCCTTCTCGCTCGGCATTCTTCCCGTTTCTTCGTTCGCCTTGCCTTCTGGGGAATTACAATTGCATACACAAAGATTCACCACCCTTGACTGCCAATTGAGGAATTTCAACTTCCACATTTTGGGAAATGTTTGACAGTGAGACACCTTCAAGTTTGAGCGCTACAGAAGAATTCTGGCATCAAGCGAAACATGTGGAATTGTGAAATATTACTTTTTGTGGTATTACGTAAAGAAAAACATCAGCTAAACACTGACCATCCAGCCAACAAAACAATGAAAATGAAAAGATAATGAAAATACACCCAATTTAATTTGAAATTCAAACAGAACACCTTATAAATTATTTATGGCAGAAAAAAAAATATTACACGCAGAAGAAAAACGGTATTATGTTAAAAATAGTCAATTGTGGAGTGGATAAAAAAGAGAGAAAAATATTTGCAATGTACAAAGAAACTTGATGAGATTCAAATTTTAACCAGAAACAAATAGATTCACTTACTTCTACTTATGCTTTATGAATGATTTTTTTTTCTATTTTTAAATCCTTTTCTTGCAACTTCTCTGATTTCGCCAAGAAAAGTCCTTGAGACTCTGTGGGATGTTGCGGGGTGTGCGTGAATTCACGCGGTGCGTAAAGGGGAAAACAGTCTTGATAAATTTTACAAAATACCTGTAACCATTTGTTCAAATTGTGCAATGCTCCCTCCCTAATTTAATTCTTACTAGTAATTATTATTTTCGTGTAGTAATTAGAGATGCAGCTTATGTAATTACAAAACATACAACAATCAAGAGTGACATTGATGTCCAGAGATGTATTAAACCACCATTATTATCAAATGCGATGTAATACGTGTAATGAAGAGATAAAAGATACTAAAAGACACAATTAACAATACAATGGATGAAAGTCTAATACATTAAAGTGACTATTCTAAAAATGAAAATTACTTTTCCTGTTACATTGAGAACATGAGATGAGAAAACCATCATTTACTAGACGTAAAAACACATAAAATGCACTTTGCAACTGCAATGGCTGCAGAGAACTAAAATTCGTCATTTAACTGAAGAATATAAAATCATGAAAGGAATGTCTGGAAACCTAACTATGTACATATTTAACCAATACTAGTGGTAATGATGGAAAAGAGGAAAAGAAATCCGCAAGAAGATGATGTGCATACTAACGAAGTGACAAACCATTCTTCTTGTCAAACAATATAAATTATATACAAAAAATATGATAAAGAAAAAAAACTTGAAATTGAAAAATAAATGAAAAGGATGCCATATTCATAAGTAGACTGTATAGAAAATTGTGTATATAGTAAAGTAAATAGCAAAGAAATTTATGTAAAAAGAGGTGAACTATACATATAAATAGAATTTGGAAGGTAAGACACTTCTTAATTTAATGTGAAGTGTACATTATAGAAGGAAGTAAATAGATGAAGAGACGTATAAATAAAATAATTACAAAATTGTCTTGATGTGTTGATAAAGATACAAATAAAATATTATATAAATAATATAAAAAAAAATATATGATGAACTTGTTTTATTGCCCAACATCTACAAGAGATCGACGATAATCAGATAGAGTTTTGTGTGGCACTGAAAGCATATCTCACATCTCTGGCGGTTAAGCATAGCGCCATATCATAATTGGAACGTTTAAACAGAGCATCGAGCAAATTATCCTACCGCAATTTTCATCAGCAGAGCGGAAAAGTTGAGCATATTTCCAATTTTTGTAAACTTCCAGTGCCATCAATTTGCCCGTTTAATAATCCATCTCGCGCTCTGCGCACCCAAATTTAATGGCTTCACCTCCGAAAGGAGTCGCATTTACATGAGTAATAATTGTGCCAGGAAAAAATACGCTTATCTCTGAAGCGTGAAGGATAATCGCGGGTTGCGAAAGTGTCTGTGTGCATCGGAAAAATTAACGTTGAGGTCAGTAAAAATTATAACAAATTAATATTAATTTAAACTTGATCTTTTGGAGGACTTTTGAAATTAAAAGTCTGGGAATTAGGGTTTAGCCGGACAGTTGGAATTCTCATCTTTCGTCCGTGAATAAGCCATTTAGATATCGTGCTAGTAATTGATATGCTCATTGGCATGATTGTCAAGATAGGCAAAAGGGAAACGGATATGGATAATTGTGTCTGGTATTTTATGGCAAAGTAAAATATTGTTTTGAAAGCAGTTGTGTTATAAATTAATAATTTTAATTCGTACAGTCATTATTGCTGTTCAGCACGGAAATGTCGAAATTCTAATTATTGTCCATCATCAATACTCTGTGCCGTCAATGGTTGAGAATGCAGTGGAGATTTCTTGCGTCGACTGTATTGAGACGAGAGGCGAACAGAAGCCGGCCAATTATGAAGTCCACACACTTTTGCTGGCCCGCTTAAGACGAACACTATATCGTATAAAAAGTTTCACCTGTCAAATTGTAGGTGAATGTTGAGAGAAGCAACGGTACAACGTCCATACTTTTATGAATACAGCGAACTTCTTGCGTCGCTGACTCGACTGGGGTTGAATCAAGGGGGAGATAGTATGGTCAGAAGTGGTGTACAGAGAAGGAGGAGTTTTAGGAAGTGGAAGTGTTTCAATTTTTAGCAATATTTGGTTCATTGCTTTGATTTTCCGTTGATTATCTCACTCTCAGAAATCAATTCTTATCCAAGTCTTCATTTCAACATATTTTTCTAGGTTATGTGACTAATTGAAGACTATAAAATCTTAGAGTAGGAATTGTTGTGTTAAAATTAAAGTATTTTTACTTTATTAGCAGAATTGCGTATCTCTACAATACAAAAAGTGCTATTTTAGTTATTTCAAAATTATCAGTCAGATTTCAGTAAGTTGTTTAGTAGATTTTAGTCTTCTTGTAAACACTTCATGAAGTCAAGAAGTGGTGTACAGATTTAGAGCATACAATCTTCCCCTTAGCTTCATATATAATTGTCAAGTCTAGTGTGAAATGAGGTCCGACCAGTTGAAATCCCTCGAGGATTATGAACAATATACGAAATTTCTCGACTTTCGCCCGAAAATGCAAAAAAGCCACTCCAACCGAAGTCAATTGATCCAATAAATGATTTGCTGAGGAATTGTCCAAGCGTGCAGATAACTTGGATATTTGCAGTGAGGATTCCAATCGGATTGAGCGAGTGACATAAAAAGGGGTTTATCGAAGTGGACCGAGAAGAGTTTTATTGCCTCGGGAGCACCCTCAGTCGCTGGCCAGAGAAAGAAATGTACGAATGTGTCACAAAGATTACTTTACCAATTTCACAAGTTCAACGAACTGAAAATTTCGAGACTATTGCCTTTGAGATGGAGGTACTTAAGTGAAATCCTCAGGCGACACCAATAGAGGTAATACTGGAATTTTATAGTTGAGAAAAATTGTCCAAGGATTAGGGGATTTATCGGGAGGAAGGAAAAAAGTCAGCCCTCCATCTTCAGACACACACACACACATGCCTTGGGAAATCGAAATTATTTATGATTAACATAATTATGCAGCCCCGCGAGGGTCATTTCTACACATTTACTCGTCCTCATCACCTGTTTCTGTCTCACACTTTTAGAATTGTTTCGTATTTTGACGTGTGCCACAGACTTTTGTTGAAAATTATTAGGAATACGTCTTAAGGAATTCCTCTCCACCCGTTCTCGTACGCCCAGCCATCCTTTTAAAGTGTATTAAATTGAAACTGTACGTTTGAGAATGTCATCACCTGCCCTGCAACTCAAAAGCACCAACGGCGCAGCGAAAGGTAAACACAGAGAGGTCATATCTTATTTTTTGCTCTGCCCACATAAAATATGAGTGGCATAAAGTATGGAAGAGTGGTCAGAAATCTTGAGATTAGGAGGAAATTGCTGGATGAATACATGTGGGCTTCGTTGGTGAAATTATAGTGAAAATTTTCGTAATTTGTAAGCACTTTCGTTGTTGGTTTCTTTATCATGAGTATTTTCCACTTCATTGTGCAAAAGGGTGAAATTGTGATAAGTTAATAGAGGTAAATTTTCTCATATTATTTATATGAACATGGCACGGAATTTAGCGAAAAGCTACTCTCTCTCTCTCTCACTGTGGAAAATATTCAGTAATATACAATTTTCTCAGTTATTTATTGCTGGACTCTTGTGTTGATGTTTAAAATATAATAAGGAATATTATATGAATACGTAACAATCTAAAACCGTGTGCAGAGATTTATCGCACACGTCCAAATTCGTATGTGTTTTTAGGGAAATTGAATGGCTGTGATTTGACCAAATCACGAAATAACATAATTCACCTCTGCGCTCTCACTTCTCCTCGCAATTACATGTGTCTTGGGGAGAAGGACAATATATTGTGGCTGCATTTTCACAAGTCTTCCACCCACTCAGTGGATGTGCGGACAGGCGTTCCTGTTGCCGCTCTCCCATGCTAAATTGGAAATTGATATTTATTTGAGTGCTGCGCAACACTAAACGCCTCACACCAAGTACTCGATGGACAATCCACATCACCAGGTGTTTTACCAGGAAACGTGATTATCGTAAGCACGCCCCACAGGTTCAACAAGATTGCCTCACGAAGGTCCCAACATGCTCTCACAGTCTCTCTCTCTCGCCCTGCTCCTCTTCGCCCGGCAACACGCACATCGGCGAGTGGATTTCGCCACTGCTGCACTTCTTCTTCTCCTTTGGTGGCGATTGGGCAAAATGCAAATAGCACAAGAACATTGTTCTCCGCCAAATGCGAATCCTATTTACTCCTCTTCCGTGGAAATTCGCCTCTCGAGCGCTTGCTTTCCTTTGGGCACACATTTCCCACAACTTGACCACTACTCCAAATACTATCTGCATCTCTCGCACATCGACGGGTGCATCGAAAACCGCGAAAAGTCGATATTTTCAACTTATCGTCTTATATAATTTTTAGAGCTTTTTATTTGTTTTAAGTGCTAAGAAAAATTTGAAAATCACATTGCATGACACAAAAACAAAAGATTCTAATTTATTAAATAAAACACAATCTTGAGTTTATTTTTCTTAGTAAAACTGCATTAAACCGCTATAAAGATCCTAATTTCAGACCTCCAGGATATTCCTAGAATGTTTGTAGACTTTAAATAAAGATATTTGGCATTTTTTTAAATTTAGAACTTTAGAAAAAGTTATGTAAATAATAAAAAGTTGATTTCTTATAACTTGTTTGAATAAAATGTATTTAATTCTCATTTAAAATCGACTTTTTGATACAAAAAGTAATAAAATCAACTGAAGCATTCCCAAAATAATTATTATAAGGAAATAATTGACACTTTTTCGAATGATTAGCGGGTGTTTGAGTTAAAATTCAGCAAATTTAGCTGCGAAATTGACAGTGAAAATCGTGACAATTGTGCCTTTTCACAGTTTTCTACTCACCCGTCGACATGCACTCCCCCATTCTTCCGCCCGAGAAGCAAAGCGAGAGAGAAGCACCGCCGCTACATATGTATGCATATACACTTTTCACGAATTTATAAAAATTACCTGCATAATATTGCAATCTCGAGGAACAAATGACTGCTCACATTATCAGCATTGTTCATCGCTCTCTGAATGAATTGTTTCTATTTCTGCTCGATGCCTCACGTTGTCCCGGAATATTTACTGAGGAGGTTGTAAAATACAATCGTAATGGCACATATGTACAGTCGCAGTGCAAAGCCAGGCTCACGTCAAACTTTCGTACGCCAAATCACATTAGCCTCCTTGCAAAGGAGAGTTTTGAGAGAAATTGGAAATCTTCTCGTAAAGTTCTTCAGTTGCATTTTCTAGCATCAATTTATTGTTGTTTTGTATTAATATTTACGCATATTTTCTACCAGGACAAATGCGAAATTTGTCACCCAAAGTGCAGGTATTTCAAATAGAATGCAAACACACATGATGTGCGGTATAAATATACATCATCGCAGCGCATTTTGGGTGGGTTTTTGCCTCTTCCTTTGGCATTTGGCAGAATATGGAAGAATATAAGCAAGGAATTCAGCAGCAGAAATCCAGATGCGCACAATTTTGCAATTTCACAATTCATAATGTTTTTCTCTCTCCCTTTATTTTGTACATTTCATCGTTTTCTTTGAATATTAAAAGAAAAAGTATGCTCGCCGGGACTTTTTATTTGCCTCGCGAGCACAATACCACTTAACAAAATGAATATGACATCCCGATTGGGACAACAAGATAGGCGAAGAAATATTAGCGGAATATATGTTAGGCATATATGTGCATCCATATAAAATATAGTCGGTGATATCCATTTTTGATTTTCCCTCTGCCCAGTGAGAGTTGCATACAGATTTTGTGCCAAGGTATCAAACACACATTGTCAAAGATGTACTTGCGCGACTCCCCTTTTGCCTTTTGTTCCCCGGCCAGCAAAAAAATGCCGAGAGGAGTTTTATTTTATTTGCAAATTTGTCCATCGTGCGCACACGATCGCGAACACACAGCCGCAATGTGTGCGCGGACTTTGGCGATGCAACTGACCACAGGATCGGACAAATGGCAGAAAGAAGTGTGCAGAAACATTCTGTAGTATTTAATCGCCATTCAGATCCGATATTTCTCTGTCAACTTCAACTTTTTCCCCTCCGTCAGATTCATCACATCGAAGCATCATGTCTTTTTTTCGCGCTCGCAAC